TGTGTGGTGGTGGTGGTGGTGGTGGTGTGTGGTGTGTGTGTGGTGTGTGTGTGTGTGTGTGTGTGTGTGTTGTGTGTGTGTGTGTGGTGTGTGGGTGGTGGTGGTGTGTGTGTGTGTGTGTGTGGTGTGTGTGTGTGTGTGTGTGTGTGTGTGTGTGTGTGTGTGTGTGTGTGTGGTGGTGTGTGTGTGTGTGTGTGTGTATGTGTGTGTGTGTGTGTGTGTGTGTGTGTGTGTGTGTGTGGTAGGTGGTGGTGTGTGTGTGTGTGGTGGGTGGTGTGTGTGTGTGTGTGTGTGTGTGTGTGTGTGTGTGTGTGTGGGTGGTAGGTAGTGGTGTGTGTGTGTGTGTGTGTGTGTGTGTGGTGGTGTGGTGGTGGTGGTGGTGGTGGTGGTGGTGTGTGTGTGTGGTGTGTGTGTGTGTGTGTGTGTGTGTGTGTGGGTGTGTGGGTGGTGGTGGTGTGTGGTGTGTGTGTGTGTGTGTGTGTGTGTGTGTGTGTGTGTGTGTGTGGATGTGTGTGTGTGTGTGTGTGTGTGTGTGTGTGTGTGTGTGTGTGTGTGTGTGTGTGGTGGTGGTGGTGTGTGTGTGTGATATGTGAACAGTGTTGCGGCAACACTCCCCCGTGTGAATGACCAGGACACTCCCACAGGCACCACTCTCCCAAGACACCCCCCCCCCAGCCTGCCTCTCTCAAGCTCTCACCTCTCAGCATCTTGACCAGGCTCAGGGACTACCTCTTATATTCCCTTTATTAAATAATATACAATAAGAAGATCATATATCATGACACAAGGGAAATACATTACATATAATTTATATAATTCTCAGTAAACCAATGTTTCATATCAACACAGAGCATGAACAGTAAACCCCAAGGAGTATGAGGGTATGAGGAGTTACCTGATGGCTTGTGGGGTATGAGGAACTCCTCATACCCTCCTCATATCTCATATCCTCACTCATATACTCATATCCTCATACAGCAGCTAAAGCCTGCAGCAGGCAGACCCCAGCTAAAGCCTGCAGCAGGCAGATCCTAGGTACTATTGTACACGGGGCTGTCACTGGGGAAATTGCTTCACGCAGCATGACCCCAGACAATGTCTGGATTCCGATACGCAATTCACGAACTGGGAGTAGTTGGCCGCCAGCCTGGTACACACACAGCCTGGTACACACACACAGCCTGGGACACACAGCCTGGGATACATACAGCCTGGGACACACACAGCCTGGGACACACACACACAGCCTGGGACACACACAGCCTGGTACACACACACACAGCCTGGGACACACACAGCCTGGTACACACACACACAGCCTGGGACACACACACACAGCCTGGGACACACACAGCCTGGTACACACACACACAGCCTGACACACACACACACAGCCTGCTACACACACACACAGCCTGCTACACACACACACAGCCTGCTACACACACACACAGCCTGCTACACACACACACACAGCCTGCTACACACACACACACAGCCTGCTACACACACACACACAGCCTGGTACACACACACACAGCCTGGTACACACACACACAGCCTGGTACACACATACATCAGGCACCACGAAGCTCTCTGCCACAATTGTGTGATACATGTCCAGTGTACCCCATGGGTCCGGGGACGAGGATACAGCTAGGGACACACGGGGTAATACATATAGATAATGTTTACATGTGTTTTCTACGACAATCAGAAAGTAAAGTGGGACAGAGAGAACACGTCCAGAAGAGAGAGAGAGAGAACACGTCCAGAAGAGAGAGAGAGAGAACACGTCCAGAAGAGAGAGAGAGAGAACACGTCCAGAAGAGAGAGAGAGAGAACACGTCCAGAAGAGAGAGAGAGAGAACACGTCCAGAAGAGAGAGAGAGAGAGAACACGTCCAGAAGAGAGAGAGAGAACACGTCCAGAAGAGAGAGAGAGAACACGTCCAGAAGAGAGAGAGTACACGTCCAGAAGAGAGAGTGAGTACACGTCCAGAAGAGAGAGAGAGAGTACACGTCCAGAAGAGAGAGAGAGAGTACACGTCCAGAAGAGAGAGAGAGAGTACACGTCCAGAAGAGAGAGAGTACACGTCCAGAAGAGAGAGTGAGTACACGTCCAGAAGAGAGAGAGAGACTACACGTCCAGAAGAGAGAGAGAGTACACGTCCAGAAGAGAGAGTGAGTACACGTCCAGATGAGAGAGAGAGTACACGTCCAGAAGAGAGAGAGAGAGTACACGTCCAGAAGAGAGAGAGTACACGTCCAGAAGAGAGAGAGAGAACACGTCCAGAAGAGAGAGAGTACACGTCCAGAAGAGAGAGAGAGAACACGTCCAGAAGAGAGAGAGTACACGTCCAGAAGAGAGAGAGTACACGTCCAGAAGAGAGAGTGAGTACACGTCCAGAAGAGAGAGAGAGTACACGTCCAGAAGAGAGAGAGAGTACACGTCCAGAAGAGAGAGAGAGTACACGTCCAGAAGAGAGAGAGACTACACGTCCAGAAGAGAGAGAGAGTACACGTCCAGAAGAGAGAGAGAGTACACGTCCAGAAGAGAGAGAGAGTACACGTCCAGAAGAGAGAGAGAGTACACGTCTAGAAGAGAGAGAGTACACGTCCAGAAGAGAGAGTGAGAACACGTCCAGAAGAGAGAGAGAGAGAACACGTCCAGAAGAGAGAGAGAGTACACGTCCAGAAGAGAGAGAGAGTACACGTCCAGAAGAGAGAGAGAGTACACGTCCAGAAGAGAGAGAGAGAACACGTCCAGAAGAGAGAGAGAGTACACGTCCAGAAGAGAGAGAGAGAGAACACGTCCAGAAGAGAGAGAGAGAGAACACGTCCAGAAGAGAGAGAGAGAGTACACGTCCAGAAGAGAGAGAGAGTACACGTCCAGAAGAGAGAGAGAGTACACGTCCAGAAGAGAGAGAGAGAACACGTCCAGAAGAGAGAGAGAGTACACGTCCAGAAGAGAGAGAGAGAGAACACGTCCAGAAGAGAGAGAGAGAGAACACGTCCAGAAGAGAGAGAGAGAGTACACGTCCAGAAGAGAGAGAGAGAGAACACGTCCAGAAGAGAGAGAGAGAGAACACGTCCAGAAGAGAGAGAGAGAGTACACGTCCAGAAGAGAGAGAGAGAGTACACGTCCAGAAGAGAGAGAGAGTACACGTCCAGAAGAGAGAGAGAGTACACGTCTAGAAGAGAGAGAGAGAGTACACGTCCAGAAGAGAGAGAGAGAGTACACGTCCAGAAGAGAGAGAGAGTACACGTCCAGAAGAGAGAGAGAGAGAACACGTCCAGAAGAGAGAGAGAGAGTACACGTCCAGAAGAGAGAGAGAGTACACGTCCAGAAGAGAGAGAGAGTACACGTCTAGAAGAGAGAGAGAGTACACGTCCAGAAGAGAGAGAGAGAGTACACGTCTAGAAGAGAGAGAGAGTACACGTCCAGAAGAGAGAGAGAGAACACGTCCAGAAGAGAGAGAGAGAGTACACGTCTAGAAGAGAGAGAGAGAGTACACGTCCAGAAGAGAGAGAGAGAGTACACGTCCAGAAGAGAGAGAGAGAGTACACGTCCAGAAGAGAGAGAGAGAGTACACGTCCAGAAGAGAGAGAGAGTACACGTCCAGAAGAGAGAGAGAGAGTACACGTCCAGAAGAGAGAGAGAGAGTACACGTCCAGAAGAGAGAGAGAGTACACGTCCAGAAGAGAGAGAGAGTACACGTCTAGAAGAGAGAGAGAGAGTACACGTCTAGAAGAGAGAGAGAGAGTACACGTCCAGAAGAGAGAGAGACAGTACACGTCCAGAAGAGAGAGAGAGTACACGTCCAGAAGAGAGAGAGAGTACACGTCCAGAAGAGAGAGAGAGTACACGTCCAGAAGAGAGAGAGAGAGTACACGTCCAGAAGAGAGAGAGAGTACACGTCCAGAAGAGAGAGAGAGTACACGTCTAGAAGAGAGAGAGAGTACACGTCTAGAAGAGAGAGAGAGAGTACACGTCTAGAAGAGAGAGAGAGTACACGTCCAGAAGAGAGAGAGAGTACACGTCCAGAAGAGAGAGAGAGAGTACACGTCCAGAAGAGAGAGAGAGTACACGTCCAGAAGAGAGAGAGAGTACACGTCTAGAAGAGAGAGAGAGTACACGTCTAGAAGAGAGAGAGAGAGTACACGTCTAGAAGAGAGAGAGTACACGTCTAGAAGAGAGAGAGTACACGTCTTGAAGAGAGAGAGAGTACACGTCTAGAAGAGAGAGAGAGTACACGTCTAGAAGAGAGAGAGTACACGTCTAGAAGAGAGAGAGAGAGTACACGTCTAGAAGAGAGAGAGAGTACACGTCTAGAAGAGAGAGAGTACACGTCTAGAAGAGAGAGAGAGTACACGTCCAGAAGAGAGAGAGAGTACACGTCCAGAAGAGAGAGAGTACACGTCTAGAAGAGAGAGAGAGTACACGTCAAGAAGAGAGAGAGAGTACACGTCTAGAAGAGAGAGAGAGTACACGTCTAGAAGAGAGAGAGTACACGTCCAGAAGAGAGAGAGAGTACACGTCTAGAAGAGAGAGAGTACACGTCTAGAAGAGAGAGAGTACACGTCTAGAAGAGAGAGAGAGTACACGTCTAGAAGAGAGAGAGTACACGTCTAGAAGAGAGAGAGTACACGTCTAGAAGAGAGAGAGAGTACACGTCCAGAAGAGAGAGAGAGTACACGTCCAGAAGAGAGAGAGAGAGTACACGTCAAGAAGAGAGAGAGTACACGTCCAGAAGAGAGAGAGAGTACACGTCTAGAAAAGAAAGATTCGTAATATTTCAAAAGACATTGGCTAGGATGTTTCAAAGCTCATACACTGTTTAATGTAAAGCCGGCATGATTAAACAAGGATGTTAAGGTTTCGTAAATGGATAAATGTTTGATGCATCCAGTTGTTGTGTGTAGAGGGATGTGTGTGTGGTAGGTGTTGTGTGTGTGTGTGTATGTGTGTGTGTGTGTGTGTGTGTGTGTGCGTGTGACAGTTGCTGTAGGGTGGGATATTCCGGATGTTGGCGACTCCTCTTGGCGTAGGGGAGGTCCTTCCGGATGTTGGCGACTCCTCTTGGCGTAGGGGAGGTCCTTCCGGATGTTGGCGACTCCTCTTGGCGTAGGGGAGGTCCTTCCGGATGTTGGCGACTCCTCTTGGCGTAGGGGAGGTCCCTCCGGATGTAGGCGACTCCTCTTGGCGTAGGGGAGGTCCTTCCGGATGTTGGCGACTCCTCTTGGCGTAGGGGAGGTCCTTCCGGATGTTGGCGACTCCTCTTGGCGTAGGGGAGGTCCTTCCGGATGTTGGCGACTCCTCTTGGCGTAGGGGAGGTCCTTCCGGATGTTGGCGACTCCTCTTGGCGTAGGGGAGGTCCTTCCGGATGTAGGCGACTCCTCTTGGCGTAGGGGAGGTCCTTCCGGATGTAGGCGACGCCTCATGGCGTAGGGGAGGTCCTTCCGGATGTAGGCGACGCCTCATGGCGTAGGGGAGGTCCTTCCGGATGTAGGCGACTCCTCTTGGCGTAGGGGAGGTCCTTCCGGATGTTGGCGACTCCTCTTGGCGTAGGGGAGGTCCTTCCGGATGTAGGCGACGCCTCATGGCGTAGGGGAGGTCCTTCCGGATGTAGGCGACGCCTCATGGCGTATGGGGCGGTCCTTCCGGATGTAGGCGACTCCTCTTGGCGTAGGGGAGGTCCTTCCGGATGTAGTCGACTCCTCTTGGCGTAGGGGAGGTCCTTCCGGATGTAGGCGACTCCTCTTGGCGTAGGGGAGGTCCTTCCGGATGTAGTCGACTCCTCTTGGCGTAGGGAAGGTCCTTCCGGATGTAGTCGACTCCTCTTGGCGTAGGGGAGGTCCTTCCGGATGTAGTCGACTCCTCTTGGCGTAGGGGAGGTTCTTCCGGATGTAGTCGACTCCTCTTGGCGTAGGGGAGGTCCTTCCGGATGTAGGCGACTCCTCTTGGCGTAGGGGAGGTCCTTCCGGATGTAGACGACTCCTCTTGGCGTAGGGAAGGTCCTTCCGGATGTAGGCGACTCCTCTTGGCGTAGGGAAGGTCCTTCCGGATCCAAGGGACTCCTCGTGCCGTAGGGTGGGTCTCTCTGGACCTAGCAGACCCCATAGTCAACTTGGCTGGATTTCGGGGGCGATATAAGTGTTGAGGGAAATTATCCTTAAGGTCGTAACTCACAGAGCAATAGGATGTAGTGAGCGGCTCGTCAGATGCGGGCGGATGTGCCGTAGTGTCGCGAGCCTCGGGAGCCTTTGTTATGGTTATTGCTGCGTCCTGGAGGTCTTCTAATTGTCACATCCCAGGAGGGAACGGTCAGTGTATTACAGGCGGGGCAGTGTATACTGGGTGTATTACAGGTCAGGTCAGTGTATACTGGGTGTATTACAGGTCAGGTCAATGTATACTGGGTGTATTACAGGCAGGACAGTGTATACTGGATGTATTACAGGTCAGGACAGTGTATACTGGATGTATTACAGGTCAGGACAGTGTATACTGGATGTATTACAGGTCAGGATAGTGTATACTGGTTGTATTACAGGTCAGGCCAATGTATACTGGGTGTATTACAGGCAGGACAGTGTATACTGGGTGTATTACAGGTCAGGACAGTGTATACTGGATGTATTACAGGTCAGGCCAATGTATACTGGGTGTATTCCAGGCAGGACACTGCCAATGGGAGGCACAATAGGCATGGTCATTGATCCATGGTGTAGTGGTGTAGGCAGCACAATATTTATGGGGTTGCCGGGTTGAATTATAGGCAAGACAATGTATACAAAGAGTGCGGTGAATTATTGACAATAAAATCTATACAGTAAAGTTGGAGTGAATAATACCGACGGCAGTAAAGAAGGATGTGTGTGTGTATGTCATACAGAAATATTCAAGCCGGAGGAATAGCGAGAGAATGAGATAAGGAGAGAGAGAGAGTTAGGTGTAGAGATAAGGTGAGAGAGAGAGAGGGAGAGTTAGGTGTAGAGATAAGGTGAGAGAGAGAGAGAGGGAGAGTTCGGTGTAGAGATAAGGAGAGACAGTGAGAGGTGGAGAGATAAGGAGAGAGAGTGAGAGATAGGCGTAGAGATAAGGTGAGAGAGAGAGAGGGAGAGTTAGGCGTAGAGATAAGGTGAGAGAGAGAGAGGGAGAGTTAGACGTAGAGATAAGGAGAGAGAGTAAGAGTTAGGTGTAGAGATAAGGAGAGAGAGTAAGAGTTAGGTGTAGAGATAAGGAGAGAGAGTAAGAGTTAGGTGTAGAGATAAGGAGAGAGAGTGAGAGTTAGGTGTAGAGATAATGAGAGAGAGTGAGAGCTAGGTGTATAGATAAGAGGGGAGAGAGTGAGAGCTAGGTGTATAGATAAGAGGAGAGAGAGTGAGAGCTAGGTGTATAGATAAGAGGAGAGAGAGAGCTAAACTTTTATGGAGAAGTTGATAAGAGCAATAAGAAGGGAATTGTGAGGCAACAGATAAAAGCTCAGAGGCTGGCATGTATGGTGTATGGTGTATGGTGTATGTTGTATGCTGATGGGTGGTGCATAATGGAGAGGGGTGATTGATGCTAGGGAGAGGTAGTAGATGATAGGGAAGAGTAGTAGATTCGTGAGAGAGGTAGTAGATGAGAGGGAGGGATAGTAGATGAGTGAGAGAGGTAGTAGATGAAAGGGAGGGGGGATAAGGGGGGATAAAATATGCCCTTTCTCCAACTCTCTTTCCTCTCACCCTTCTCCTCGATTCTCCTCCCCTCTTCCCCTCCGTACACTCTCCTTCAGTCTCCCCACTCTCTCACCTCTCCTTCCCTCTTGCCCCCCCCCCCCACACCCTCTCCACCTATCTCTCCCACACTCCTTCCATCTGTTTAACTGTTTTAAATGTCCCTTCTCCTTCGCTCTCTTGCAACATCTCCCCCTACCCCCTCTCCCGTCTCCGTCATTCTCTCACTATCTCTGTCTCTTTCTACCTGTCTCTGTCTTTATTTCCGTGTCTGCCTGTCTCAATGTGTTGTCTGTCTGTCTGTGTTTTACTGTTGGTCTTCCTGTCTCTGTCTGTCATTCAGCCTGTCTGTCCGTCTGTGTCTCTCTCTCTTTTACCTGGTCGACCCATATCGCATCTCTTGTCGCTATATCAGTCTGTGTGCATGTCTATCGCTGTCTCTTTCTCATTGTCTCCATGTCATGTTGTCTCTCTGCCTTTTTTCTGACTCTCTCTCTCTCTCATAAAAATTATATAATAGTCTACCTTTGGCGTGTTGGTGGTTCATTGGTGGAAGATGCCTATAGACGTGTGAAATATTAAAAATATAATAGCTACTCATTTTCTTTGAAAAGTCTGTGAGGAGGGCTTGAGAAACCCTTAGAAACTATGCAAGGATCGCCTGTTTTATTCTAATACGGCCAAATTATGAATTGCAGAAAATTGTCCAAGATCAGTGAATAATAGTGTATATTATTATGAGTCATATAATATATGAACATTGTAATCATATAATGGTGTATATTATTATGAGCCATATAATATATGAGCATTGTAATCATATAATGGTGTATATTATATGAACCAACCCCATATAATATATATTTTTTTTGCTAAGTGTAACAGGCGGACAGGCTCCAAAAATCGTCGATGGGGTCAGAATGTGATTCTGTCACGCTGTTCTCTCCTAGATAATTACGACCCCTAACACCCTATGTTTGCCCCGTACCCTTGACCATTAACCCTGCAAAGTTGGGTGAATCTAGCCCGTAGTGTCTGGCCTGCATCCTTGGAGAGGGGACACAGAGACAGATAAACAAATAGATAAGTAAACAAATAGACAAATAAAGGAATAGACAGACAGACATACATTCTCTCTCTCTTATTGATACAGATTGTAAGAAGTTGGTGTTCTCCTTCAAGACAGACGCGCCCTACGTTACTCCCAGGAACGAAGACGAGAGCACTATCTCACTTTATACACTTGAGAAATACTGGAAGTGTTGAATATGATTAATATTCAACAACCTGAATATTAATAGAGTATTAATAGTATCAACACAAGAAAGAACACGAAACAATGGGTATAAATTGGATAAGTTTAGATTTAGGAAAGACTTGGGTAAATACTGGTTCAGTAACAGGGTTGTTGATTTGTGGAACCAATTGCTGCGTAACGTGGAGGTGGGGTCCCTCGATTGTTTCAAGCGTGGGTTGGACATGTATATGAGTGGGATTGGGTGGTTATAAATAGCTGCTGCTTCGTATGGGCCAATAGGCCTTCTGCAGTTACCTTTGTTCTTATGTTCTTATGATCAGTGAAAAGTACACTTAGAGATAACGCGAGCATCGCCGGTCCTCAACTCTTCAACTTACTAACAGTAATGAAAGACATGTTGCTATAACTTGCAAAAAGAGAAACAGTTGTGCAGAAGTTACCATGCAGGCGCGCTCTCTACTCGCACAAATACCTACACGGACCAGGCACTCTCCAGAGAAACAAGAGTAGAAGAACTCTCGAAGTCAGTTACAGGTAGAGAACAGGTGCTTACCTGTCTCTTCTGTGCTGTCAGGGTTCGAGACGGGTGCAGCAGTCCCCCACCACAATGTAATACAGTTACCTAAGAAGTGGCAATAAAGATAATGTTTCCTTGAAACAAACTCCAAGAAAAATGTAAGACAAGTGAGTATGGAGTGGGAGAGGGGAAGGTTGGGGGATGGGACGAGTGTGTGGGGGAGAAGGGAAGGTTGGGGGATGGGACGAGTGTGTGGGGGAGAGGGGAAGGTTGGGGGATGGGACGAGTGTGTGGGGGAGAAGGGAAGGTTGGGGGATGGGACGAGTGTGTGGGGGAGAAGGGAAGGTTGGGGGATGGGACGAGTGTGTGGGGGAGAAGGGAAGGTTGGGGTATGGGACGAGTGTGTGGGGGGAGAGAGGGGGATGGGAGTATGGGGGAGTAAGTACTCACCTATTTGTACCTGCAGGATCATTTGCTCTTGGACCCCACCTTTCTAGCCACCGGTTATTTAAAGCAATGACTCCGGTCCTACTTCCCTATTACATCATCATTAAAATGATGAATAGAGTTTGCTTCCACAACCTGCTCCTTTAGTTCTTTCCATTCCCCATTACTCTCACGCTAAATGAAAATTTTCTAAGATCTCCATGACTCATCTAAGTTTCACGCTTCGACCCATGTTCCCTTGTTCTATTGCTATTCAATGTGAACATTTGATTATTTCCACTCTGTCAATCCCCCTAAGTATTTTGTATGTCTCAATCATGTTTGCAGGGGATGCTTGTCAGTGATACGGGTCTGTAGTTAAGTACCTCTTTCCTATCTCCTTTCTTGAAAATTGGTACCACATTTGTCTCCTTCCAGCAACTGGACAACTCTCCTTTCGTAAGTGACTCATTAAAGATCCTTTCTAGAGGCACGCTGAGGGCCTCCGCTGCCTCTTTTAATATCCATGGTGATACATTGTCTGGTACAACTGCTTTAGTTTAATCCAGTGTTCTCAGCTGCTCCATTACCTCCTCTGCTGTCAACTCTATATTTGATAGTCTTTCATCTTGGGTCATCTCTTCTAACAATGGGAGCTGCTCAGGCTCGGTTGTGAACT